ACTTTATGTAAATATCCAGACTAACTTCTTACTTCAGCTCTCATTACTCTAATCAGTATACTCGTGACGTGTGTTTATATTAATTCATTTGATCTCTTACAAAGTTTTTTTCTATTCTGTATATGAGGCATAGTCAAGACGAAGTTCTACTTGGAGAACCTGGTGTTCATCAGAATTATGCTCATGAGAAAAGGTCAGGTATGTTCTATACATTTGCCAAAATAGAAAAATAATATTCCAAGTTATTGAGCATAAGTCCTTTCTCAACAAAACTCCTAAAAACTAGAACCGTTGTCACCTGAACCAGTCTTCATTCTCTAGAATTTTAAAGGAACGGGACTTTTTTTTTAAAACCAGCTTCACTAAAAGACGGAGTCTTAAGGGGATTAGACTCTTTGATTGACACACTGCAAAAAGGCTGATGTTACTGGCACCTAATCAGACTCCACTTTATTACTTCCACATGACTTCCCATTCTAGTCCATAACCGTCATTAAGCCTTAAACCTCAAATCATCATCCTTCTCTCTAAAAATCTCCAAAAATCCCCAAAATTCTCTAGATATTCTTCACGATGACTACTCCTCAAGAAAATCCAGGAACTCCCCACCAGTATCTCCTAACACACCCTCATCTGCACCTCCTAGCGGCAATCCTAAACCAAGATTTCACCGGCAGAAAATGTTGGCAAGAAAGACTGTGGCTACTGGTGCTCTGAGAACGGCTCTAAATGAAAAATTGAGAGCCAGCCAGAAAAAGGAGAGCTCTAAAAAGGAATCATCTGACTCGAGTTCTGAGTCTGAAGCGTTTGTTTCTGCAAGCGATGGAGAAGAACGTGGGTCTTCTGACTCAGACAAGAATCAAGAAAACCCTAGGGAGGTAAATACATGTTATGTTTTTTCTGATGTAGTTGAGAAGGTGGACAATAGGTTTGTGTTGGTGGGTTCTGTGAGAGATGTAAGTGAGGGAGATTCGAGTAGAAAGAGAAAGAAAAAGAAAGATAAAGTTCTTGCTATTTGTGGAGGAATAGAGGAGAGTGGCAACAAGCTAGGGGGAAGTGAAACTGGGGAGCTGCTGAAGGCCTTGTACACCTGAGTGAACATCAAGATGAACCTAGTTCATATGTGGAAGAAACCTTGGCTGACATTCTGAAGAAGGTAGGGGAAAGTTATGATCCCAAGAAGCGCAAAGCTTCTTCTCAAAAGGCTCCAACTGCCTTTAAGCCAACAAAAAGGAGCAAGGTGTCATCTCCTAAGCCTACTGTCCCTCCTGTACCAAAGATGAAAGCTACTAGAAGCAGGGTAAAGCAAAGTGAGGCTGAATTGCAGAAAGCTTTAGAGGCAAGTAAGAAAAAGAAGAAGGAAAAGCGAAAAGCTAAAGTTTTAGAAAGCTCTGTGGACGCAGAAGAAGAGGAGGAGGAGATGGAATTGGTCCATCAGGAAAGAGGTACAACTGAGGAGGTTCTCACTCCTACACCAAAAAGATCCAAGACTTCTATAAAGAAGTCTTTAGAACCTGTATCTGTTGAACCCTCCCCGACTAAAAGAACCAGGTCTGCAGTCAAAGGAAAACAAGTGAAAGTTCCTGAAGAAGAAGAAGCATGGAGTGGAGAGGAAGAAGAAGAGGAATCTGAAAAGAACAGGACAGATTTGTCCTTTTTGGCAGGAGAAAGATACTCAAAGGAAGAATTTTGAAAGATCTGGAGGAGCCAGGCATGAAAAGATTGGTTGATGCCCTGGATGCACAGGGGTGGAAGGACATGGTTCTTCAATTAGATGGCAGGCTGGCAAGGAAAGAGCTGATCGAGTTTATGGCAAATGCTACTGTGGTGAATGGGGTTGTTACAAGCGTGGTGAGGGGAGTAAAGGTTCATTTTGATGCACCTAAATTGGGCAGAATTCTAGACATACCCTGTGAGGGTAGGCAAAGGTGGCCTTGTCTAGATTCTCTCCCTTCTGCTCTCCAAATCACCAGAAATTTTTGTGATACCAAGTCTGCTGAAGAACTGCCTGAGTCTAGATTTGTGCAAAAGAGTGAGATGAAGCCTGAGCACAAGGTGCTCTTTGAGTTTGTGAACAAGTGTTTGCTGCCTAGACAGGAGAGAAGGCACACTGCGAATTATATGGACCTGGTCCTTCTGGAGTGTCTTGTGAGAGGAAAGCAGATTAACTGGCCTGCTTTCATTGTCAAGCTGCTGGATAGAGTCATCAATGGCTCTAAGGCTCATGCCACACCTTATGGGTTTATACTGACAACTGTCTTGGCCAAGTTAGATATGCCATTGAAAAGGTGGGAGATGGCCTCCAGCAAAGACCACTTTGGAATTAAAACTCTGCAGGCTTGTGACTATCTGCTAAGTGTAGCCCCAGTTGAACCTGGTTCATCCTTGAAGACTCCTGTGAATAGCAAAGTTAGGGCACTGGTTCTAGAGTGTGAAACAAAAGATGCAGAAATTGCTAGGCTCCAGGCTCGCATTGTTGAACTAGAAAGTGAAAGAAATGGCCTCAAAACTGAGCTAGCAAAGGAAAAGGAAAAGAGTGAAGGGATGCTCCAAACAATGCTTAATCTTCTTCAATCCCAACCCTCTAGTTCCTCCAAGCCCTAGAACCAGTTTAGAAAACCCCTCAGTGACCCAGATTCGGGACTTTTCTCTGTTTTTTTTTTCTCATGGTTGGATGTTTGTTTTTCTTTTTGTGGTCTGTGTTGTAGAAACACCTCCTAATCAATGACAATGTGATTTGTTTTCTCTTGGTTTATGAAACTTCTGATCTTAATAGCTGAATTTCTTGTGAAGTTGATTATTGATTAACTAAATCATGTTTTCGCTTGCAGTTGCCCCAGTGGCCATGAGTAATAATTAACATCTGGGATTCATATAATATGCAACTTTTCGATGATTCCAAAAGGGGGAATAGATATTGTGCTTTACTTTGTATTCTGAAATAAAGTGATATTTATAACCTGATTAAACCTGGTCCTTAATAATAAGTTAAATTACTGTGTGATAATTAAGCTGAGTTCCACAGGTCTCTGATCAATAAAAGCACAGAGTTTGTCATCATCAAAAAGGGGGAATTTGTTGGCCCAAGTTCAGATGAAGCTTTGAAGATTGACAAAATGAACTTAGTCATGAACCAGGTCCATCATGTGAGATAGACACAGTGTTGATATACTTATACATGTGACATACGTGTGAAGATAAGTCTCAAGGGTCAGCAACAATATCTTCTAAGTTGATCGAAAAGGTTCCATAGGATAAGGAGTTGAAGTCTCCTTATGTGAAGAGAACTACATCCGGATTAAGAATAAGGATTGGAGTTTGAAGTGTTCTAGGACTCGAATTTGATGAAGGATCAGCAGTTCGAGTTTTAATCAAACTCTGATTACTAACTCTATAAAGAATCATGATTGTTCTCTTTTACAGGTATTGCACAAGCGCAGAAGTGAAACTAAATTGAAGAGCAATATAGCAAGGCTTTTTGCAAGCAATTTACGTGAGATTCAAGTGTGCATTCCTGAAGCTACTTGGACAAGATAGAAGAACCAATTCCATTGTGTCTTTCTTTTAATCTAATTCAATTGTAGTTGGTGTTTTCATATTGTACCTTTCAGCTTTCATAGAAGCAATTATATTAGGTACTTTGAGTATTCAAGTTAGAGTTAACTTGAAAGTGTCGCAGCAGTTGAGGCTGTGTGCCACACTAGGATTAGAGTTTAATCCTTAGGTTTACAAAGAGTTTTGTAAATGCAGTTTTGGCTCAATGATTAGTGGAAGTTTGGGAAAATCCTACTGAGTAGTAGGTCGTGTTTTTTTCACCTTTTGATCCAGGTGTTTTCCACGTAAAAATCTCTATGTTCTTTATTTTATGCACTCTTAATTCCGCAAATAGACTTAGTAAGTACATCTAGAAGAACCAGGTTCTTCTAGTGCGAAAATTAGGTACCACACAAATCACCCCCCCCCCCCTCTTGTGTGGTATTGACGTCTAGAACATCATACTCCCCTTGCAGAAATACAACAAACATGAAATAGTCGGGAACAATGACCATTGACTTTCTTAAGTGTGAGGCCTAAGTTAGACTTTCTGTTTTTGCTACTTGCCACGTCAATTATGTAACCGATTAGGGAAGAAACCCCTTCACTTAATTCTGAAGAATGTTATTCCCTCGTATAAAATAAGATATGCCATCAATTTTTCCTTCTAGTGGTAAAAGTTCTCAAAGAGCTTATAAGGGTTTCGCAAGACGGTGAAAACTCTATGGTCAAATATAGTTCTCTTCATATCAAATTGTCAACTTGCTCAAGACGTTTTAAAGATTATCTGATCGCGAATCATCACCATTTTAACTAACCAAAGGTGTCATATTCAGTTCACATAAAAAAAACTATAGATTAGTATCCAATATGAATTCCCATAAACATAGTCTAATGTTTAAGAAAAGGGATCTTTACCAAATTGTCGTTGGATTCACTGTTTACTTTTTCTAACCTCTATACATAAATCATAATATATACACATATATATATATATATATATATATATATATATATATGTGTGTGTGTGTGTGTGTGTGTGTGTGTGTGTGTGTGTAATATACATCCACCGGTTTTGCTTTGTTTGAGCGGTTGGGTGAGCGGTTATTTAGGTTAATTCTAAAACATGGGGGTGATTGGTACCAAAAAATCCTTTTTTCACATAGAGCACCTTATTAGAGGTCTTACATACCATTTATTAAACATGGTCAAGAGTAAGGAAAGAAAATAATTAATTGTATAAATTAAATTTTCTTGTCCGCGCTCAGCTTAGACATGAAAATTTATGTAGTACAACTAAACAATCAAAAGTAAAATATCCCAAAGGATTATCAGTCTTCTACATTCCAACAACTTATCTTAATATTGAAGCTATCCCCAAGAAGAAAAATGAATTGGAATGAGAGGGGAAAAAAATGAAAAAAAAAAGCAAATTTTTAATGTAAAGAGAAAAATGCTCAAAGAGATCACCAGCTGTAATTTGGAGGGAGTTGAAAGAATCTAGGCTGAATCCAAATTCCTTTGAAATCTTGAGCATCATAATCTAGTATGGCCTTAAACTTTTCATTCTTGATAAAAATTACAGAATCACCACTTCCAGCATAAGAGGCAGCACAAATAGAAATAGCAACATCATTCCCAAGTTTCATCCTTTTCTTGAAATCACTCATACTGAAACATTTCTCCTTGTAGTTAAAAGGCAGGCGTTCAATATTTGGATCTCTACGTTCTTTAACTATTTTGTAATACTCAAAACTCTTATTTCCCAAGTTGAATGTTATCATCTTATCATTCTCATCCAAAATTTGAAAACAACCATCAGCAAAAGTAGCACCTTTAACACCACCAAAAAATCTCTGTGAAAGATCATATTCATACTTCACCCACGCGCTAACTCCGCGTTCCAACACATGTAGTTCCAGAAACTCATGACGTTTCCGCAGAATGAGAGCCGTAACACAATCATTTGACAAAGGAGAAGAAGTAAACGCAGCAGAACCTTTAGAAATTTCATATTCTTGAAAAGGTGGGAGGTCAATTCTCGTGCGAGAGAAAGGGCAGAAAAAGAAAATGAGACCCTTTTGGGATAACAGTAACCAACCATGACTCGAAGCAAGGCAAGTAGCTTCTTTCAGTTCGGGGATATTAAGGGTGTAACTTTTGTCATTTGTGGGGTTAAAGAGTATGCATTCCTCATCGTCATCGTTGTAGAGTAGGAAATAAGGGTGTGTATCCGGAGCAGATTCTATGGCTGCAGTAGCTGAGAAAGAAGCAGAGCGCCAATTTGTGCACACTCCACGAAAACCAAGAAGATCAATAATTCCGAAGTTGTCTGCTATTTCCCCTAAAAGTTCTGAAGGCAGATCACGCCATGATCTTGCTGACAGTAAACAGTCTAGAAGTTTTTCTTTCTTTCTAGAACATTCTTCTCTTAACTGCTTTGCTTTGTCGTTGTTGCTTTCAACATCAGAGAGCTTAGCAAGCTTTTGGAGAAACTCTTTGGCCACTTTCTCCATACGTCTATTCAAAACAAAGCAAAAGGAATACAATCAGACTTATATTCAAGAACCAACAGCTACAAGAAATGAAGCATTAGTTTCAGATAGTACGCTCCAAACAGCTACAAGAACACTGACAAATGTTTAGACCAGCAACTACTCACTCTCGATGTCCTAATTTATGTGTCATATTTCCTTTTTAGACGATTTATAATTATATAAATATTTGTAACTTGTTTTAAACCACAAGTTCAAAAGTGTTCTTTCTTTTAATAAATACTGTACCAAGTCAAACATTATCACACATGATGCGGTGAGAGTGCTAGTTTTTGTTGAAACTATATAATATGTTGATATTGCATAGTATGATGGTCCCTCACTGAGATATATACAAAAAATTAAAAAAAAATAACAATTTAGTGACGAGGAGATATAGCAAGTGAATAGTAATCCATATATTCACACAAATAAGGATGCGCACTATTAATTAAACAAATGAAGCAAGAAATAAATATTCAATAGGAAAACAAGAAAATAAGAAGTAGAAGAAACCGAAATGATCCAAGATCAAGAAACTTACCTATCTTCTTCCATTTTAGCTTACACAGAAAGGAGCCTTGATGAGAAACTATCAACTGACAAAAAAGAATTGGGTGAATACCAAACGTTACACTTTAGGATACAAACTAGTGTTACACTATTTTAATGGGTAAATTTTTCTTAAGAAATCATATAAATATTGTGTTTGAGTTATAAAATAAAAATATATGTTTTGAAAAATAATGAAGGTTTATCTTATATATCTAACTCTATAAAAAAAAAAAGAACTTTTCACATAAAAGTTCTTACTCATACTAGTCAATATGTTCAATTAAAAAATTTGTTCCAGTTTTATAATTTTATCACTCCAAATTCACAAGTTACATTACTTCCTTCATTTTCAACAATTACACATAACCCTTGAAGATTTAATAATTTTTTTAAAGAAATTCCGGGAAGCTCTTATCAAATTCATTCTAGTAAACACAAACAAGATTAGCAAACCGATAGAAGATAATACTTTTTCTAGTGAAAAACATACAAATTATTCTATTTCTTTACACTGCTAAGAATAAGGTCTTTTCCGGGGGAAGAAACCGACAGAAAGCCGGCGATAACCGTGGTTTTCCAACTAAAAAACAACAGATTAGGACATGTCAGAAATTATCACGTCAATGGAAAAAGTCGACAGACTCGAGGTGATGAAAATTTTCATTAAAAGATCGATCTGATGGGGTTCGTTGATTTTCTTAAATTACGCATAAAATTAACTATTCGAGAATCGAATCGAGGTATATATCGTGGCAGGGTACTTTTCTACCATTTGACCATTGGTGCTCGATGGCCTAATGCTTCTATTTTTCTTATTTATATTCCTCAAGCGAAATTAACTAACAGAGTCTGACGATTTTTTTTTTAAAAAAAAATTAAAAATTTACCAAAATTAACCGGTAGACCCGATCGGTTATTCCATCGGATTTTCATACATAGGTTAATTGTATTTTGACTAAAAATACTGACAGATTTGATCGATTTTGTAAAATATTTTTATTTAAATGTTATTATGCAATTGATTAGGTGCGTTATTTTTTTAATTAAAAAATGCGCTAAACACAGTAATGACGGTGTCTGTCAAAATTAAGTTTTGGTACATTATTGCGTAAAATTAACAAACGAATTTTTGGCGATTTTAATTTTTTCATTCTATTTTCTAATATGCTTTGTCGGTTTCCTTAAATTATTGTTGCTCATTTTGTATGATCAAATTACAAAATTATTTGTACTTGTAAATCGTGATATAAAAGAATTAGGCTTTAAATTAATGTACTGCTTAAATAGAATTAAAGGAAGACGCGGAGACCTTTCGAAAAGATAACCTGGTCGGTCTAGCAGCCTATTTTCGCAAATCAAACCAAAATTGGAAGGGAAAAAGGGCTTAAAAGAGCATGCATGAGATCTAACATTTTAGAAATATAGAAAAGTAAGCTACAAAAGGGTAAAAAGTTAATATCAATCTAATTTAATCAGTTGTATCTAAAGGGACACCTATGATTCAATGACCACTAAAGAGATACAATTCCGCCATAAAATTGAAAGTCAAAGTTATCAAAATTAGAACCTGGAATTTGTAATAACGGAGAACTGAAGAAGGTCGATTAACTGGCTTGTTTTGGCACTGAATCAATATTATAATACGTATTTATAACGCTATTTTTATTAGGAATCATTATGCTACCAAATTTTAAAAGCTCTAAACCTAAAAGAAATGGAAAGAGGTTATAACTATTAATCAAGTAATTAAGAGTTTATTCTTAGATTTTAGGAAAATAATTAATTAACTACTTTTTTGTGTAAAATTAATTTTAAAAGGTAAAAGAAACAAACCATATTTTGCTAAGTGACTTTGTATTTTATAATAATAAGATAGATAGATATAAATATAAATGAATAACTCCACCAAGGAATTCCTAATCTTATCCCTTTTTAGAGCCCGTTTGGCTTGGCTGATTTAGAATAGCTGATAAGCATAGGTGCTGAAAAGCACTTTTAAGTGCTGAAGCTGATTTAAAAATAAGCAGTTACGTGTTTGGATAAAAGTGCTGAAATTAATAATAAGCAGCTAAAAAATTGTGTATACAAAGAGTTTTGTTTTAAAAAGAAGTATTTTAGGGATAGAATAGTAAATATTTTGGTCAAACCTAAAGTGCTTATAAGCTGAAATTTGATAAGTTGGGGGAGACCAACTTATGGCTTTTGGCTTATTTTTGGCTAATAAGCACTTAACTTATAAGCACTTTTAATTTTACCAAACACGTAGATAAGCCAAAAAGTGCTTATAAGCCAATTTGACCAGCTTATAAGCTTAACCAAACACCCTCTTAGTTATACACTTATCTAACCTTTATTCATGGAATACAGGAGCAACAAAGTAGTTTAGCAAATAACTTAAGCAGGATGGAATTAGTTATTATTCATTTAGTTCCAGAGTCGTGATGGAAATATGTACCAAAATAAACACGTCCTAGAAGAATATCTTACGACACCAAAAACAAAAATCAATTTATCTCCCATGTAACTAAGCAACAAACTAGGATGATTCACATAAAGTAAGACTGAAACTGGCTTTCTCAAACAAATTGGGCGTTTGGTCTAGTGGTATGATTCTCGCTTTGGGTGCGAGAGGTCCCGAGTTCGATTCTCGGAACGCCCCTAAAATATATTTTTTCCCGCTTATCGAATGGAATGGAATGGAAATGCCTACTCTTACCCAAAGTGATACCGTTTGCATGCTCTAAATATGTATACTGCACATGTGATATGGGTAATTTATACATAATCATACTATATATCTATTAGAATGTATATCCAAATTTTAGTTCTTGAATGTTATAAAAAGGGTGCTTGGCTAAAGGATAATAGACATACTATTATCTAGAGGATCACTCATAACTATTTACAAAAAGTCTTTCTCTATATTTCTTGTTTATATTTGCTAACATAATTAAATCATTTAGAATTAATTAGTTTTGATTCAATGACCTGTTAAAAACTAATAATTAAGAATTAGAAAAATCAAAAAAGTTTCCGTCAGCATTATCGACATTGGTTATAATTTCTTACTTACTTTTTATTTTTAATTTTTCTGCTCAATTAACTAAATTATTTAGAATTAAAATATTAGCTCATTGAAGAAATAAAAACTGATTGTAATATGCAACAACAATAGCAAACTCAATGAATTCCCACAAGTAGAGTCAAGGGATTGATATCTGACATTTAAAGTATTATTGGCAATTCTCCTTATATATAACGTGGAATTCTTATAATTATGAATAACAAAAATCAAAGAAGTGTGGGTCCGCATTATCGACTATAGTTATTTTCCTACTTTTTTTTTTTACTAATGTAATCAAATGATTTATAATTAAAATATTAGCTCATTAAATAAATTTAATTGATAAAACAAAAGAAACTGTCAAGCCTAACATGTACCTCCGGAGAAAACTTCAAAAGAAGCAATTTTATCACTTCATTCCTAACGTGTAGCGTAAAGTCACCATAAGTTGACATGGTAACATTCTTCTTTTATTAATTGAAAGGCCAGATAATTTGGGAAAAATTCAGGATTTCTTACCTAGTTCAAATAAGGAATAAGTTGATATTTAAATTTTGGTTTGATTTTACAAAATCCTAAGCATTAGGAAAGTAATTTAAATTATAATTTCATCTAATATAAAATCAATTATTAAAGATAAAAAGGAGAACGATATTTTGTTAAGAGATTACGTGCTTTTAATACACTATTAGTTTTAGGTGTACGCACGTTGCGTGTGTGACCTATCTCAATTAGTGAACTTTATTTTAAAAAGATGCATAATATGATATCTACAATTATATAATAAAATATTAAAATTGTAAGAAATTGAGCAGACAATTATATGCATTATTGGAGTGGCCTTGTTTCAGCCATTGTACCCTGTGAAAATGCTTTCTTCTATTTATATATCAATTTCTCCAATTGCACTTTCAACTCCTTTTTCTGGTCATAGAGTTGTGCTTGGTGGTTTCGGTTTGCCATTTCTGCTTGTATCACTGCTAACTGCCTTCTGATATATTTTTGACTCTATGAAACTCTTTCGAACTTAGCTTCTTCACAACACCTTTCCCTCTCTTAAGTTTTGCCAAATACCTCTTAGGTTTAGAGTCCAGGGTGCTGTGTCAAATGGTTGAAAATATTATGCCATTGATGGAAAAAAGATATTATATATGCCATTGACTTATTATCGTCATAGCCGATTGGTTCCGGCTTGTATTAGGTTTGGTAGGAAGATCATTTTCATTTCAATTATTTGTTCTATAAGAAGTAAAGGATTTCTTTTATTTTTATTTTTGAAGCCGACATAGATCAATCATATGGTTCCACATAAAATATCTTTGAAATTTCAGTTCACTTTTGCAATTGACGTATTGTAAAGTTT